TTAGGCAATAATTATTTATTATTGGATCATATAAATAATAGTATTATTATAAAATTAATAAAATTATATAATTGCATTTTAAAAAAAAATAAAACTGATCTGAAATTTAGTTTGTTAGAATCACCACATTGAGAAGATTCAAAATTCAGTATTATTTTTAATAATCCACCTGCTTAAACATGCTTAAATTTCATTAAGTAAAATGTATTTATGTTAATCGCAAAATAATGTAAAATTGTATTAATAATTATACTTAAAATTTTTATTGGTTATTATTTAAGATTTAAGGATTAAAATAAATATAAAATTATATTTTTAGTATGTGTATATAATAAGTTATAAACTTTTAAAGTTAAAATATTAGATGATACATAACTTTTAGAAGCAATTATATATCTGATAATAAGGTTAAATAAATAAACTTAGTAAAATAAATTTAATAAATAAAGTAAATAAATAATATAAAATAAATAAATTGAATAAAAATAATTAATATAAAAACTAAATAAATTTAAGAAACTAAGTAAACTAGTAAGATAATATAAAATGATGTTAAATTTATTCGATGATCTATATCATTATGATTATCTAAATAATTTTTATATAATAATATTATACCTTAAAGAAATCAATTTGAAATCATGTTTTCAACAGCTAAAGTTACAATAAATATTACATTTAAAACCAAGAGTAATAATGAATTAATTAAATTATTGAAAGAATTTATTGCAGTTAAACAAAAATATAGTGAGTGATATGTTTATGATAATTTTAAAAAAAATGATATTATAGAAATTGTGAACCAAATAAAATAAGAATGAACAAAATGAGAATAAAATTGCTATTTTATAATAATAATTAATTAATCAAACAACTGATTCAATCATAAATAAAATTCATGGAGTTATTTGTAAAAGAAGATTGAAAATTGCTATAAAAGTTATGAAATAAAAGATGTAATGATTGAAATTACAAGCTAAATTAAAAATAAAGATAAGAAAATAAATTCAAATGGTAGTGAAGATATCTATTATGTGAAAAACCTGAATATTATCAAAAAAATGTTTGAGTAGTAAAGAAATAATATGAGTGAAATAGAGTAAACTTTTAATAATTACATTACCATATAGTTCATATTAAGTAACTTCATTAAATAAAAAAATAAATTAAGATTTATTTTTTTGATTTGTTTATTATTATATGATTAAATATTTGATTATTTGATATAATAAATTTTATTTCTAGTAAATGTTAAAATGTCTATTATTTATTATGATTTTAATAACTTTTTAAGAATATTTTATTAATTTAATTTTTAAATATAAAAAAATATCTTAATTTTATATATGTTATTAAAGTCAGAAATTAACCTTACTGCATCAATTATTAATAATCTATAAAATGATGATATAATAGTTAATCATATATTATATCAAATGATTAATAATTTTTCAGATTTTGCAGATTAGTCTGATATTTCTAATATAATTAATTCTACTTATTTTCATTATTTTGCTTATTTGTATTATTTTAATTATTTTTAATATATTTATTAAATTCTTAATATTTATTCTCTTACTTATATATATTATATTTATTATATCTTATATATTATTACTTATAATTACAAATTTAGTTACTTTATAGCATAATAACTAATTAACTTTAGCAAATTAATTTTGTATAAATAGAAAATTTTTTGCTCAAATTATAAATTAACTCTTTTGTAAGTTTCAAGTAATAAATGAAAGAATCAACTTTAAGACATAATAATTTTTTTTCTTATATGTATTAGAGTATGAATGAGTTGAGCTAACTTTCAAGTCAAATGAGTTGAGTTAATTGAGTCAAGTTAAGTCAAAAAAATTTGATTTATTTAACTTGATTTGTATTTTAAGTTAAGTTTAACTTGACTCAAGATAACTCAAGCTAAACTTAAGCTAAAGATTAAGCAAAATTCTAAAGTTGAGTTTAAAGTTAAGTAAATTACAAGCCCAAAGTCAAGCTGAACTTGAGTAAAAATTTGACAATTTTTTTTTAAAGAAAATATAAAAAAATCTTTCAATAAAATGATATATATTATTCTAAAGAAAGAATAGAAGAATCATTTTAAGAAATGATAAATAAAATCATTCTGATAGAATGATAATACATTGTTTTAAAAGAACAATAAAAGAATCATTCTAATAGAACGATATAAAAAATTATTCTAAAGGACAATTATGTATTAGTTTAATAGAACAATAAAAAGAATTATTTTAAAGGAATAATTAAATTACCATTCTGAAGAATGATTATTCTTTCATTATTCTAAAGAAACAATTAAATTATCATTCTAAAAAAATTATTTATTATCATTCTTAAAGAAAAATTTTATTATTATTTCAAAAAGAACGATTATTTATTCATCATTCTATTGAAATAATATTATTTATCATTCTTTTAGAATGATTTTTTCATCATTCTATTAAAATCATTCTTTCTATTATTCTAATAAAATGATATTTTATCATACTATTAGAATATGTAATTATTCTTATAAATATTTTTTACATTATAACTTTCTTCTAGAATATTCTTTCTTAAATATTAACTTTTTTTTTATATTTTCTTATTTTATTTTTCTAATATTTAATTAACTTAACATTTATAAACAAGTAAAATAGCTTTATTTATTTCTATAACTTTGTTATTTAATAATTTGTCATTTTAAATAAAAGTTTTTATTTATTTGTATTTTTAAAATTTATTTAAAATAATTAATTAAAGAAAAACAAATATTGTTTACTTGATGCAAATTATTTACTATTTAAATTAATTTACAAATTTATATTCTATTCTATTTCTACAATTTTTATTATTTATTATTTCTGAAATATTCACTAAACTACTTTAGTAACTTGTATTACTTGTTTTGTTCATTTTCTTCTTCTTATAATTTCTTCTTATAATGTTTACTATTATGATATTATGTATTATTTTTATATTACATAAGCTTGTATATAGTCAGTTTTTAATTTTAACTATTATTTCTTTTATATAACCTTTCTGTATGTTTATAATAAATCATCAATTTTTATTTTTATTTTATTTTCTAAATCTTTCTTTAAGATCCTCTGTTTGGTTTATTAATTATTTGATGTCTTAACCTTCTATTTGATCTTTTAATTATTCATTTTCTTTTGATAACTAATTTATCTGAATTATTTCTTTTCAAAATTTATCTATCTTATGTAATTTTTTTTGTTAATCTGTAGTTTATCTATGTATTCTTTTTTCTTTAATAAATAATTATATTTTTTTTTATCATGTGATTTTACTTATGATTTTTGTTATATTTTATTGATTTTCATCATATGTGTTACTGCATTATAAATTAAAAAATTGTTGACTCTACAATATATAATTAATTATTATAATCTATTATAAATTAAATTTATCATTATTCTATTATTATCCCTCAAATAGTATGATTTTCATACTAATTAATGTAATTTTTTTTTTTTTTTTGATTTTACTTAAAAATCATTATAAATTTTATTATAAAAATATTATTTGTTTGATAACTAATTTAATATATCTAAAATTAACTTTAATTAGTAAATAAAATTCCTAAATTTGGAATGAAAACCATTGAAGGATCACCCCGATATGATCGATCATACGTGATATGGCGCAATAATGATCGAAGCGCCTCATATAAGATTATCAAAAAAAGTTCACCGTTTAGAATAAAGGTTTCAGGTTTGTAATTTTAATATATTTTTTTTGCAGGTCACTATAAAGTGGTCTAGAATTTAAATACGCGGTTTAAAGTAACTAATTTAAATTCAGACGAAATTCAATTTCAATTACAAAGCAACCGATCATTTTTTAACTTTGAAAGTTTGTATTATAGACCCATCACATATAGATGTTGAAAGATCGTATATCAATCTAATGATCTTTTGAAAGCTATACTTTTTTTTAATTTCTATAAAAAGGCTATACGGGCATATTATAATTATGAAATTTATTAAATTTTGTGAAAAACGGCGGAGTTCCCTCGTTGTGATGGCGTAAATGAACATATATATATTTATTATTGAAATAATATTAAGGAATGACAATGGACTCAATGCATTATTGTCATACAGACGGCATGTAACAATGATTTTTAAAAAAAATTGCATATTACGCCTCATGGCTCTCTTTCATCGAATGAATCGTAAAAAGAAAAAAAATACATAATTCTTTCGGTAAAAAATGCCATTTTCAAGATGTGATTAAGTTTAAAATGATATCCAAACAAATATATACAAGTACAAATAATCTTTTTAGTCTTGCCTTAAACCTTTCGTAACATTACTATAAACTTAATTACATGCAATTAATATATCTTTGTTACGTATATTTAATGAATCAAAGCCAGATTTCGCGATCCTTGCTGACACTGTCAAGAACTTGCTCTAGAGACGTTGTTTTTTTTCCTGGTTAAATACTTGATTAAAAATAAATAGACTTTTTGATGAAATCCAATTTTTATTCGAAAGTGATGAGTATTTTTCGTGTTTAGACTTAGAAAATGCTATTGATATGATAGTTTATATCTTACGTGGTCTCAATTGGAATGAAATTAACAAAATTGAAATGTTTTATAGTTTTTTTATTTTTTGTTGCGATATAACCAATGTACGTGTTTTTTTTCTTTTTTATGCTAATATAAATGTGTCTAATTAAAAATTAGGGGTGATTTATATATTACTAAATAAAAAATATATTGCAAGGTTATATGATGCTATGTAATTAATCATAATGATGATGATGTCATTATTATCAGACAAAGTCCCAAAGTCCTTTTCTATATAATTTTGTTTCCTCGCATGTAGGTAATATGCTATGCAAATGTGCAAATTAAAAAAAAATTAATGCAATTATAATATATTATTATTAAGATAATTAATCGATTCTCAAATAATATTTTGGGAATAAACTATAATGGAAAAAATATAAATAAATTATCAAAAATGTGAAAAATTTTTAAAAAATTTTATCAAGTTATAAGAGAAAAAATATCTTCCTTCCGGTACATACCAATTTCTAAATAAGTCAATATTTCCAAACTCTTTCAACATACCAACATGTTTATATATGGAACAAACCTCCAAGAACTCACCGGAAGGTTGAAAATTATGTTTCATCCATAAGTAAGAAACGAATTTTAAATTGGTGAAAGGTTGAGCCCTTAAAAATAATTCCCACACCTTAACGGAAAAACTACAATTAATTAATTCAAGGGTATGTAATTTGGCAGGTCTTGATTTCAATATTTGAAATAAGAAATTATCACAATAATTAATATTAATAGGAGCTTCGGAAGGAATGGAAAAGAGGCATAACCTTTTTAAATGTCTACAAGAATCGAATAAAGTGATCAAGGGAGGATTAATGACGGAAATGGGGATTGAACAATTCCTTAGATATGGACAAGAATTTATAATAGATTCAAATAATAATGAAACATTAATCGTATCAAAGATTCTTGAACCTTCAACTATGACCTTTCTTAATTTAAAAGTGTTTTGAATTAAATCTGCTATAAATTTTATTTCATATTTATGATTATATTCGAATTCCAACTTTTTTAAATTTCGAAGGGAAGGAGCCTTTATGGTAATTTGATCATTATTATAACAAGGTTGCTTATTAAGGCACCTTACAGAAAGTTCCTCTAGATTTATAAAATCTCCCAAGAATTCTAAACAACCGCACGAACTCTCCAACTTTAGTTTTGTTATTAAAAAAGCTTTCCTTCGTAATTCCGATCCGACTCCAGGTGATTTCCAATAGATGATTGGTGATATATGATTAATATTTACAAGGTAAAGTCTTTGTAATTCTCTTTGTACTCTGATCAATTTAGCCAATGACTTTGAATTTTGATTACCATAAATCATGATTCGAGAAATGTTTGTACTACTTGACGCAAGTTGATTATAAATTCTTTCCATATCATGATCATCGACGCATTCTAATCCAGTCAAATATGAAAGACAATTATTTGTTGCACTTAGGTATATTAGATCTGCATCAAACAAAGAAAAGATTACTTCATTTCTCTTTGGTTTAACGCGAAGCAAACTTAGTTTAGGTGATCTTATCAAGAATAAAGATAAAAGTTTTGAACAAATCAAAAGAATTTGACCTCTTATCCGATTCAACTCATTCGTTGACAATAGGGAATCATCTCGACCAGAAAATTTTTTGCCGAATTTTTTTATACATGAAACAGCCCTTTGAAGGGGATGGTGTATCGAAGCCTTTTCATTATACTTGTTGTAAACCCAACATGAAGTCAACCTATGAAGGTAATTAAGATCCAAACCTCTTAAATAAATTGGATAGTTAAAGCTAAGTTGAGTTGAATATTCCGGTACATTAATTCCATTTTCTTTCAATTCGTTTATCGATTCACAAGGAAGTGATGCCAAATATACATTGATTAAAGCCATTGATCGCGTTAGATTCTGATGGTAGGAAAGATTTTCCAATCGATAGAAAAATGTCCAAGGATCTCTCCATAAGATTGGAATTGTCAACCTGCACCAAGCTCGATTGACCAAAAGGCATGAATGTAAAGTTTGTTTATTATATCTAAGAAAGTATAAAATTATTGATAAAATATCTGTATTGATCGTTACGGGCATTTTTTTTTATAAAAGTTGATATTGAATTTTTTTGAAGTGAAAAATTTTCAAACATAATTTTTTTTGATTTTCAGAATAGCTTTTATATGCGTAATAACATTACATGCTTTATATAGGCTTAGATCCAAATCTCGGGTAAAATTTTCCTTTTTTTCGGTTGGTCAATGCACGTGATGATTGATCAACCTGCTAACCATAAGTTGACTAGTGCGATTCTTCAATGAAACGGATATTCGTACGATCGTATGACCACAACAAATCAAAAAATTTTTTTTTTTTTCAAAAGAACAATACAAAATGCAAAGTTGTTTATTTTTCTTTTTTAAGAAAGAAAAAAAAATCTCTGCATGAATCTGAATCAAGAGTATAAATTTTTTTTTTTTTTTTTTTTTTTTTTTTTTTTAAAAAAAAAAAAATTTGATGGATATAATTCGGAATTATTTATTTATTTATTTAGAAAAAAAAAAAAAGAAAAGAAAAAAAAACCAGCCCCGATGCAAATTTTAAAGTTTCTCCATGCATGTGAAGAATGCATTATCGCGCCGACATATGGTAATAAAAATACAAGTGTTCAAATTCTTATTTTTTTTATTTTATTATTATTATTATTATTATTATTTTTTTTTTTTTTTTTTTATTATAAATAAATATTTATCAAAAATTTTCTGCGCGCTTCAAACCTTCCAACATTCTTAAATCATTCCATTTACTAATATGTTTATGATTCTAATGAACAAATTTCCCAGGCAATTATTAAATGTGTACAAAACAGTGTAATTGTTATTTAAAAAAAAACTTTTCATTTGGCAGTTCATTTTCAGGAAGAAAAACATCAAAAATCCATTACAAAATCGAGGCTGCCAAATGTTTTCCGTAAATAAAGAAAATAAATCGGAATATAAGTCCAGAAAAAAAAAAATAAGTAAACACTAAAAAACTTGAATTATTCGTGTTGAAGTTTGAAAGTTACCTTAATCTTATAAAGTTAATACCAGATTGATTAAAAAAAAAAAAAAAGGTCGAATGATGGAAATTATTATTTTAAAGGAATGGTTGTCTTTCTTAGTCCAAGAAAAAAAAAGAAAAAAATAGAAAAAAAATTACTTAATAAAGACCGACCAATCAAAAAAAAGATTCATTAAAAAAATTTTTATTTTATCGCAATTGTGATTCATACATTCATACATTCATAACATAAAAACGCACGAACAACTTCGTTGCATTCATTCAATATGTTCAAGTGACAAATGAAATCCGATCGGATTCCAGAGATTTCGATCGTCTCCGACAACTCCAAAAAAAAAAAGATGATCAACAAAATTATTTCGAAAAAAAGTTACAAGGAAATTGCCTGTGCGCTTATTGGGTCCTGATTAAACGAAGTGACTTTTGTACGACAGTAATTCAATTTAGTTGAAAATCTTTTTTTATTTGTTTGACCGAAATCCTTTTTTTTTCACCACCCCATTATTATTATTATAATTATTATTACCGTGTTATCGTATTATGGCATCAACGTTAATTCCAGAATGTCTTATACCAATATTTAAATATCTAGAAGATGATCCAGTCTTACTATTTCCTTGCATATTAGTTAATAGATGTTGGTGTCAAACAGCCATACCAATTTTATGGAGTAACCCATTTTCTTTAACGAAATTTGATAGTAGATATGGATCAAGGAGGATGTTTTCACTTATTAATACATTTATATCGACTTTATCGCAAGAATCGAAAAACACTTTAATAACGCACGAGATTAAAATTCCTGAAGTAGCAAATTTAACATTTGATTATCCATCATTCCTTCGTGTAATAGACATGCTTTGTATAGATTTAGCTGTAAAAGATTGGTTTGCACACCCGAATTATGGTAAAATTTCTTATACTTCCACGCAAATTAAATTATTACTTTCCATCTTGACAACACATTTATTACATAATTCCTCTTTTATAGATACTTTAAAAATAAGTCACACTACTATCATTAAAACTACTGGTACCACTTCTGATATCATTTTAGACATAATTCATCAAATTCCTAAAACTACTAAAAATTGTTTCTCGAATCTTAAAGAGTTTCAATATAATTCAGACACTCCTATAATGGAAGATTTATTTTTAAAACTTTCTCATATCACGAATTCAATTGAAAGGATTTGTTTTACAATTTATAAAAATATGACGATTTCAGCTCTCACCTTGTTAAAGACTCAAAGGAATTTAAAAGAATTAACCATACAATATCATATCATGTATGATATCTTAATAGATCAATTCGCTATATCAACTTTTTTAGACAAATCAAATACTTTAACTCATTTGACGTTAGAAAAATTATTTTTCCCCTTAAATTATTTGGAAAATTTTAAAACTTTACAAGAATTAAGTTTAACAGATTGTGGTTATCATGATTATAATATTAATGATTGGTTAACCTTCTCTTTAATTACTTTACCAAATTTAAAAAAACTGGTTTATAAAAATCCAAATCCTATCTATTTAGATATTTTTGCAAAATTTATTAGTAACACTAATATTAATTATCATTTTGGTAGTAAATTATCTCAAATCATTATTCAATGTTGTAAATTTCAAAATCCTGATAATTCCAATTTATTATTATCTTCTATATCAAGTAATTGTCCTTTACTCTCGTTTTATAGTGGTCCTATTTCTTCTAAAAATACTTTGGAATTGTCTCAATTATTAATTTCTTGCCCTTTTATTAAAAATTTAAGATTACATCCTCTGACATCTATTTGTTCCTTAAATAATACTTTGATACCTGAAATTAGATCTAGCTTTGATCCTCTTTTATTAGAATTATGTAAAGCTCCTTTATTACATTTAGACACCCTTACAATTGTTCATGGTTGGAAGATTCAGAGTAATATTTTTGAGGACTTTTTAAAAGTTAGACAAAATAATGGTAATATTGATGGTATATTACGAGGATTTAATTTTTATTGGAATAACACGGTTGTTATCGGAGATTTAGTAAAGATTTGTGAAGAATATCCAGACATTATTAAATGTTATGGTGAATTCAATGGAATTATCTAATATATATTTGGATCATTATTCTTCTAATTTTATTATTGCTATTTAATAATGTTATTTTATCTTATTTTAAATATCTCAATGCCAATTCCAGCAATTGCCACATTAACGTAACCATTAATGTTAAGAATGTCCATTGAATTCGGATCGCAAACATCTACAAATTCCGATTTAACTAATTTTAACCCTTCATATATATCGATCTTATCTTTTGCATTATCCATCTCATCTGGTATGCAAAAATCTACTTCCCATAAATTCAATCTTTGATCTAGTGACGTGCTCAGTATCTTTGTATCACTTAACATATGAACACCTTAAAATAACAAATTAGCACTTGAATATGATAAAATTTAAAGGAAAAGAAAGTAGTATTGTTATTTATTACCTTGAATGGATGATCCATGCGCCATTTCCATTTTCATGATCTCTTTACCATTAGGTTTAATTATCAAATGCATCCTTTCGTCATCATCCATTATATTCCATAAAATGTCGATATAAGCGATTGAGAGCGCGTTATCATCCCCACCCGTTACAATTATATATCTATTATCACAATTAAACATTGGATGTATTGCAAGACAATTTACCCCAGATTGATGAGCTTGATAGGAATAAATTGGCACACCCAAATCTTGTGAATTAAATTTGATGTCTGTCTCGTCATTTTTGTTATAGGAATCCAAGTAACTAGATAATTAAAGAGAGAATATGTTTGATTAAAGAAAAAAGAAAGAAATATGTTTAGGTCATTATCTAAACAAACCTAAAAATGGGTCCAGATATGTCCCAAATAGCAACCCTATCAAATAAAAATTTTTAAGTTTCAACACTTAATAATTGGCGTTTCATTTGAATATGCTTTACCTTCCATCTGTTGCAGAAGTAAATAAAACAATTCCACAAAAAGTATTTGAAGTTTGTTTCGGGTTTTCCACTGGTAATTTTGCTGCATATTCATTAAACGGGTGTAAATTTTCTTTGCAATTTCGGAAATTTGCCAATTTTGTAAAAAATTAAATACCTGGAACGACTAAATTCTGAACTTGTAAAATACAATTCGTATGAAATTTGGCTTCTCCTATCAAGAAAAAATTTCTTTTTTTCTCATCGAATAGCCATATCTATATACATAAAAAAAAAAAAATGATTAATTTATTTTATGACCAGATAATTTTTTTTTTATAAAAAAGAACTGTAATAAATCTTACTCTTAATACAGAATCAGAATACACAGCAGCAATAACATGTAATCCCCTTGATGGGCTAATTGGACAAACAGAAATATCCATAATTCTAGTTTCTGGAATTTTACTAATATTGAAGGCAAAACGTTAATTCGAATTTAAATATTAATAAAGTGCGTTAACTTAAATTGATTATTATACCTAACAGCTGGGCAATAAGACCATTCTAAACAATTTATATTTATTAATGGTATTGATGCTATAATATAAAAATATATTAAAGATTAATAGAAAAATATAAGTTTAGTTTTTATGACTTACAAGAATTGCTTTCTGGTTGACCGCGTTCAAGACCGGCCTCAACTTTCCAACATCTTAATTCTTCACCAGCTCCACTTGAAAATAGTAACAATTCATTTCCTAAATAATTTATATAATAATCATCATAATGTAAATATATGTGTATTTTTTTTTTTAAAAAAAAAAAGGATTAACTTACCATAACTCCACTCTATACTTCTAATCACAGATGTATGCTTCTTTATGCTGCACAAACCAATCAAATGATTTTCTATCTCACCGGGCATATCTATAAACACAATGAAAGTAATAGTTAGTAACTTAAAATAAGGTTTTCTAGATAAAATACATCTTTAAAGTAATCGTCAAAGAAAACCCAATACCTTACATTGAAAAAGCCTTAATAAACTGTCTTCTGCTCCTGTGGCAAATAGTATTGGATTATCGAACATTTGGTCCCTTCCTAAATCAATTTTCAACGGATACGCTATATAAAAAAATAAATACTATTGTTATAGATTTATCATCAAATAGTAAATACTTTTTATATATACATACATAAAAACTTAATAATTCTACACTCCCTTCCGTGATAATTTTCTTGTAATTTGCATTTGTCAAATCCTTCATTATTTGCCGAACTTTCTCTTGAATAAATATAGATCTGTTAAATATTAGAATTTACCGAAATTATATATGTAATAATGAATTAAATAAACTCACATTCTCTTTTCTGATAAACGTGAAGCTTGACTTGTCCATTCTTTTGTCTTTAGCTTTAAAATGCCACGTCCTATGTGCTCCTCCACACGCAACCGAAAACATCTAAGAATATAATTATCATATAAATGTTTTATAATTATTAATTTTATCTCTAAAAACATGGAATGAACATACCTCGAATTTCTTGTCTTCATTATATACAAAAAATCTTTTCCGATAAAATCCTAATAACATAAGCTCATCATCTACAAAAATTACCTTTCAAATACTTTCATAGTTAACAATGACTTTATTTTTCACGATAAAAATCATTTAATCTTGCGTCATTATATCTCACTTTCTCTAACCAACCCTTGGTAATCTTTGCTCTATATACTTTTTCTAAAATCAATCCGTCTTCTGAAACCAATTCTTTCTTTGATGATTTTTTTGAAACATTATCACAGCCGATTTCATCTTCTCTATCTGCATCTTCACAAAGCTCATCACCACATTTTTTTAATGATCCAGGTCTATCATTTTTTAATAATTCAACATCAATTTCTATTGTCTTTAATTCTTTTCTAGTATCTTTTGAAGACAGACCTCGGAGTCTATACTTGTTGTATCCTCCATCTCTTCCTGAAGTATATATTGTTAATACCTCTTCGTTATCTTTGTCATCATTACGTTCCGATTTATCCATTCTTAAAACAACAGATGTCACAGCTTGTTTTCCATGTGCTTCCTTTAAATATATAATCGGAGATATTTCTCTTACAGATTCTTCTTTACAGGACAAACAATATGAATGGAAGCTATAGATAGATAACCCGCTTTCGCGTGATCCGCATATTAATAGATCGTATGATGTACAGAACGAGAGAGACATTAAAAGAAATCGTGGTGGTACAGAGAGTTTATACAAGATTTCAAAAACAGGTTCCTATTTTTTAATATATGTAAATGTAAAAATATATCATAAAACTAAGGATTTAAATAAATCGCGACTTACTGAATCAGCCATACAATTCAAATCTAATTTTAACAAATATATATCGTTATGAATTGCATGGGAAACCACATATAAAATATCAGGATCTAAATTTAATTAAAAATTTAAGTGGCTAATAAATATATCAGTGAAAAAGCATATAAAAAGAACGATTAATATAAACCTTTAGTTTCCTCCAAAAATATTTCAAATATCTTAAATTGATGCAATTTCTTCTCTATAGTCTTGTTAATTAAAATAAAATAAGTATTCAATATCATTGGATTCCAAGTTAATACTTTGGTAATTTACCTGAAACTTCTGATTCACACTTGTAACAAACACTTGTCCATTAATACTACCGCAACATACAACTCTCCCACATGTTGAAGCTTTCATCATTGTATAATTTTGTAGGTCCTTTGAATTATACAATGATAACCACTCTTTTTTTTCATGATTATATCTCAACAAATGTCTATAAATAAGAATTCAACAAATTAAATTAAATTAGCGACTTAACTTTAACAATAATAGACAATTTTTTGTTATATCTACCCGTAATTAGTCGCTATCACAATAGTACAATAATCAACAAGCACAAAATTTCTCACGTGTTCTCTAGCCGGATGTCCATTTTCCTATTATAAAGAAAATTTTTGGGAATAAGGATACAGAATATTGCATATATTATCGGAATCCCAACAATCATAGCACTTACTTCTAAACCGACATATGAAACAATTGGCGGTAATTCGATTTTGATTAAATCCTTATCAGAATCTACATATAAATCAATAGACAAATAGGTTGGAACCTTATTATTTCTTGACGAACGTTACGTTATTTCGTACCTATTTTATTATTTGTAACCGTAAGAAGCGACCATAAACGAATTCCAGAATCTCCACCACCTGTAGCCTAAAATGCCATCATAATAATTAAAATATTCCCATCTCATTTCCTTAATTTTTAAAATATAACTCACAACGATTTTCTTGGAAGGATTAATTGCCAAACTCCAAACATTCTTTCCAACATGACCTTCCCAACAAGCAATACAATCTACATCATCAATGTCATTTGAATCTATTGAATTTTTCCAGACTCGACATGTTGAATCCTAACGTTAATAATTACTAAAAATTAGAGGAGTAAAATAATAACTCTGAACTTTGAGTGTCAAATAAAAAGCGTACCTCCGAGATGCTGATGAGATAATCATTCATGATATGAACATCCCAAACACGTGCCGTATGTCCATATAACACCCGAGGATTGGAGCTACGTGAATAAAACCATTTAATAACATTTTTGATTCACAAATAATTTCATATGCTCAAGAAATAATATGCTTCACACTTGTCATTCTTATCAGTCTTCCAAATACGAACGGTTCTATCATCTGATACTGAGGCTAGAGTTTTTCCATCTTCACTGAATCTTACTCCAAATATGACACCCTTTGATATATACAGTTGTAATTATTTAATTATTTATGTTTACAATAAAATGCAAAATTCGGAACTTACTTCATGTCCAAGGAGCTTTTTATATACAAACCCATCTCCGGATTCATTTTTCTTCATAACGTCCCACAAATGAACTTGATTAAATACTGTGCCAGATGCCAATATCAACTCATTCCGAGTTTCACCAAAGAATCTCGCAGAATACAATATGCAACGTTCTTCGCATTGTATGGAATAAACGCAAACTTTATTTTGGATATTCCAAATTTCAACAAAATTATGAGCAAAAGCTATTGCTAAATCTCTCGGATTATTTTCAAAAATTGTGGACTTCAATTGATTATTTTTAAATAATGAGAATTGAAATTAGAAATTCTGTCATCAATATTGAAACAATTTATTCCTTACTTCAACATCGTCTCTAGATTTAGTATGTGTAAACATTGAATTGTCCAAGTTGTCATACAACCAGTTGACATCATGAATCCAATCTCTTAAAGGCGACAATCTCGACTCAAGAGAAATTGAAATTTTAGGTAGTTCGTGACTTTTATTAAAGAAATGACAATAAATTTTGGAACTTATATGAACAAACCAAACTCAGAATACAATAAAATCCAACGTACCTATCCATAAAATAATTTATATTTAAATTAACAAATTGAATAGTTTTTGATCCATATATAGCCAATAATCTTTGCTCTTTGATAATATTAATATAACATGGCTCACCAGCAGTATTGATTTTATCTACAATTATTTCTTTCTTTACAGACCTAACTTTTAGAAATGAAACAAACAGTATTATTATCTTTCAATATAAATAAAAAATTTAAATATGACTTTAAGCTCACCTGGTACAATTCGATATATTCTCCAGTATTCTATAATAGGATAACTAAATAATAATTTGCCAGTCGGAACATAAAAGGCTTTTAAATAAGGACCTTGACCTGACAATAATATTATGTCATTATGAAAACATAAGGATGTTACGGGACCCGCGTAGAAAATTTTCTGAAAGAATTCAGGAAAATTTATTTCTTTAAAAAAAAATTATGGATTTTCATAAAACAAAAGATTATATAGATAAATACTTCTAAATTGTTCATTGATATTCAAAAAAAAAACTTTTGAGAACGAAAAATTTGGGTTTTGGATTTTCCATCAGTTTTTTATTCTGCTTTGTACGACCGATCGCAGATCGTATTTTTTTTGATAAAAAGATTGATTAAATGTTCGAATTTTCTTATAAAAAAATAAATAAAATGTTTTCTCGAGCAATTTTCCTCAACAATAAATCATTCAATAATACCTATATAATTAATCGTTCTTTAAAGTGTATTACCAATTCATTATACATTTCAAAAAGAGTATTTCGACCCTATGTAAATTATGATAATTGGATATCATTACAGAAAAGAAATCAATCATCGTTGTCGAATTCGGTAAATCTTTAATAAACTTGAGAATGCAATTTTATAAATTAATTCTTAAAAACAATTTATAATTTTTTAAGCAGAATATTAAATATGTAGACTTATCAAAATTTCCAGCCGAAAATATTAGAAATTTTAGTATTATTGCTCATGTAGGTAAGTTATTATTAATATATATAAAAAAATCTTTAATTATTATAAATATTTAATATGAATATATTTTTATTCCAATAGATCATGGTAAAAGTACATTAGCAGATAGGTATAATTCATGAAATTTCTTAACCACGTTTGTAACTTTTATCCCACCTAATTAATTTCATTTGTTCATTGAAGACTATTAGAACTCACAGGTAACGCGTATTTTATAAATTCCTTTAAATCTAATAAAGAGATTAAGCTAATTTGATTATTTACTATGAAATAAAGGTACAATTTCTTCCAATCATTCACATCAACAGGTGCTGGATAAGCTTAACGTCGAACGAGAAAGAGGAATTACAGTAAAGGCTCAGGCATGTTTAATTTCTTAACAATCGCGTCGTAAAAACCGTAAAAACCATAAATTAATTAATTATTAATAATTAGACGTGTTCTATGTTTTATAAATATAAAGACAAAGATTATTTACTTAATTTAATTGATACACCGGTAAGTATATATTTGCATTGTTCCTTAATGTCAGATCTTTTTAATACACATTTAATTATTTATTATCTAGGGACATGTTGATTTTAATTATGAAGTATCACGATCACTTGTTGCGTGTCAGGGAACGATATTATTAGTAGATGCATCACAAGGAATTCAAGCCCAGACTGTTGCTAATTTTTTTTTGGCATTTAATGAAGGATTAACCATCATACCTGTTATAAATAAAGTAAGAGCATTATGCCCTAATTCTTTTATTATTCGTTATATTTTGATATATTAAATGTTCAAATTATAGATTGACCTTCCGGCTGCTGAACCCGATCGTGTCATAAATCAAATTGAGTCCACGTTTGAATTGGATACTTCGGATATTTCACTGGTGCGAAATGATTATTATTATTGCTCTTACATTCTGAATTACTTAAAATTAGTAACAAATTTCCTTTAAAGATTTCAGCTAAATCTGGAATCGGCGTTGATAAAATTTTACCAACTGTAATTGAAAAGATACCTCCGTATGTTTTTATTGAAAGCTGTACTAATAATCTTCATATTATTATATCAAATTTATTGAAATAATATTTTTTATCAGTCCTAGTGGAAATGTAAATAAGCCTTTGAAAGCCTTTCTTTTTGATTCATGGTATGACACATATGTTGGTGTCGTTTGCTTAATGGAAATAGTTGATGGAAAGTTACAAAAAGGTAAATAATAAAATCTTCCTTTAATCAATGTATGCTAAATATGTTTTAACCAAATATAACTTTTTAGGAGATAAGATTATGTCGGCATATTCAGAAAAAATGTATGAAGTTATTGATATTGGGATTATGCATCCTGAACAATTTACGACAGGATATTTGTTAGTAACAATTTAATTCATTTATTTTAATTTTATTTTAAGTATGGAAAACTAATGCATTTTCTAAATATAGGCACGCTGGACAAGTGGGGTATGTTATCTGTAGTATGAAAGTTGCAGCTGAAGCTCATGTTGGTGATACGTTTTATCATATTAAAAATCCGGTGGATCCTTTACCAGGATTTGAACCAGCAAAATCCATGGTATTTAAAATTTTCAATCAACGTTCCAATTCATAAAATATTTCTTTGTTTTTGGGAATAAACAAAAATTTATGAACAAATATTTTTAGGTATTTGCTGGTGTATTTCCTATAGATACAAACGAATTCAATAGATTAGATGAATCAATTACTAAATTAACTTTGAATGATGCAAGCGTTTCTTTACAAAGAGAAACCAGGTATGAGAAATAGCCAAATGTACTTAAAGATTCTGCATTTTAAATTCTAAATTTAAATTTTTAATAACAAGTATGGCATTGGGACAAGGTTGGCGAATCGGATTTCTGGGAACATTACATATGGACGTATTTAAACAAAGGCTAGAAGAGGTATTTAGAAAGCATATTTCAAAAGATGTTCTTATATAGATATTCAAAATAATAATAATAATAAAATCATAGGAACACGATGCTAATGTAATTATCACTCAGCCAACTGTACCTTATAGGAGTAGGTCAAATCATAAATAATAATTTTTTTATGAATTTATATTCATCTTTTTAATCCTCTGATACCATTATAGTTATTTATCGCGATGGGACGTCAAAATTAATTCGCAATCCAACCGAATTCCCCGAACCAATGGAATTGCAGAATAAATTATCTGAATTGCAAGAGCCAATAATTTTGGCTACTATTATATTACCAGAGGTATAAAGTTCGTTCTGTTTGTTTGGTCGCACAATCCACTAGTCGACCCGGATCCATGATCAAAATCAGAAATTGGAGTTTCAAGATTAGCTAGCTGACTAGTTGTTTTCGTTTCAAACAGTCTGTTTTGTTCACTTCACTTTTTTTACTTTGAAGAATGGATAGGATTCATACTTGAACTCCTTTAATACTAACTAATAATTCTAATAACTTTTATTTTTAGGAATACATGGGATCAATTATTGATTTATGTGGGGTATGTTTTATTGAATTTGCACTTTTTTATACTTCTGCTGCTGCTGCTGCTATTACTGATTATTATTTATATGTTTAGTCTCGTAGAGGAGAACAATTAGAGTATACTTATATGGATGAGTCACGCGTTATTATGAAATATAGCATACCACTCGCAGAAATAGTGACAGATTTTCATGATGAATTAAAATCAAGATCTAGTGGATATGCCAGGTTTGATAAATTAATTGATAAATAATGGTTTTGCGATTTTAATGGATATGTGCTAATTGATTTTATTAGTTTTGATTATGAAGACATGGGTTATCAGACATCAGACATTGTTAAGGTATTTTACTAACAAGTTTTTAAATGAATTTAATAATCGGATAGCAAGTTGTGCCCAAGAATAACAGGAATGGATTATTTGAAAATGCCATTTTTAATACAATTGAACAAGATTCATAATAATTATGCTAATATAAATTACGATTTATATAGATGAATGTGTTGATTAATAAAAGACCAATAGATGCATTAGCGACAATTTTACATAGATCTCAAGTTGCGAATGTTGGAAGAGAATGGACAAAGAAATTAAGTGAAGTCATACCAAAGTACGTTATCTAATTATAATATAAATAGATTATCAAATAAAAAGTTACTTATATAAAATCTTTATCAAATTAGACAATTGTATGAAGTCATAATACAAACTACCATTGGTGGAAAAGTTATTGCTAGAGAAACGTACGTATTGAATCTTCCGTTTTGGTTATGTTTGTTAATTTGCTTTTTATGATTTTTATAAACTGTTTTTAGAATACCTGCTATGCGAAAAAATGTTACTGCGAAATGCGTAAGTTGTCTATCTTTACATTATTTTTCTGTTTGACAGATATTTCTTTTTAATAGAAAATCTAATTTTAGTACGGGGGAGACGTAACTCGTAAAATGAAATTACTTGAAAAACAAAAAGAAGGGAAAAAGAAAATGAAAATGATTGGTATGTTGTAATCAAGATTATCTTTTACGTTAAAATGGTTAAAAAAAAATAAAAAATTCTTATTCCGAATAATCCTATTTGATCTTATTAGGAAACATAGAATTGCCTCAAAAAGCATTTTATGATTTCTTATCCAAAGGTTCTGGCAATTCCAAAAAGAAATAATAATATTTATTTAATATCTTTGTGGATAAGTTAATTATTTATTAGTTTACATAATAGATTTATAGTCAGCATTACAATGCTTTTTTTTTTAATTCAGGATTTCTTTTTTTAAATAAAATAACAACCTCAATAGTGATCGATTATTTGGTGTCATGTGATTTAATATATATTCCATTTGTAAAGATCACATCATCTTTTTTTAATCCGCTATAGATAAAAAGAATTTCTTCTTAATATTCAATTCCACCAATTGCATAATACACGAGCCAATATTATTACATTACATTAAAAATTTTAATTTGTTTATTTGTCAAATTCATTCACCTCATTGCAAATTTATCACGGGGATCGATCTTGCAGTCTTTGTAATGCATAAGCAAAATGACTCATTATCATTATAATCCAAATAAAAATTTTTTATTTGTCAAAAAAAAAAAAATCCCTGCATGACAATCGAATTAATTTGTTTAATTTAATGATGTGCAATCGAATCTAAAAAAATTACATAATGAATAAGTCATGTTCCATAAAATTTATAATTTACAGTATGATAACATTTTGAGAATATTTATTTATTTATGTTTAATTAAGTAAAATAAAAGAAATAATAATGAAAAGGAATAGGTAAATATTTATAAAATAGAAAAAATTATCCCCAATATGAAGTTAATAAATTATATGCTAACATAAATTAATCATTACATTATTAGGTTTTGTAGTTATATAGCAAATGTGACGTAGTGCTTAATTTAAAATGTAAGAAATATCTGCTTTATTGGAAGACGCTTCGCCTGCTTGAGTGATTCGATCATTTTGCCTCTTCTTAATTTTCCAAATGTTTTTGAGATCATTGCGCGAACGAAATTTACCAAATTTAGTTACCATTTCAGGCTGTAATTCTTTCCATTGAATAATCTCGTGTGTTTTTAAATGTTCCACAACCCATGCATAAATAAATTCCTTCTCCCCTTGTGAGAAAATGTCGTGGCAAACTAATAAATGAAAGAAGAGTTTATTCAAAAAAAAAATAAAAATAAAAATAAAATAAGACATAATTAACTCACTACGAGGATCTAATGAATTCCACCAACTATATTTTAAGATGTACAAAGTTAATTTTTTTCCTCGTTAAAAAATTCTTGATAAAAAAAAATATTTGCTTACTGATCAGCTATTTTCTTGGAGCAATGAGGAATTATTTTGCTTAATTTTGTAAATGGAGTTTCTATTGCAAATGAAGTTTCATCGAGTCCATCCATGTAATCTATAATAATTTTTTCGCTCTTAAAATTAAAAAAGAATAGGTTAAATAAATTATTTTTTATTGATTTTATCATGAATAAAATAATTATTTAATAAATTGGCTATATACAGTTTTAGAGAACTTAGAACTCATGTTAGGAAATATTTTTTCTTTTTTCTTTTTCTTTTCCAAAGTTATAAAGATAAAAAGGAAAGTTCCCGCTTTTTTAAATTTGATTTTGTTAATAATGCTTATTTTTGATCTATTTCGATTGTTAAAAGAGACATAATTAATATTTATTGTATTTCCATTATCACAAAATAAATTCTGTTTCAAAGTATTATTAGTAAGCAAAAAATAAATATATTTAACAGTAATTATTATTTTACCTTAATGATAAATGAAAATACCTTGGAAAAGGTCTTTAAATGAACCATTTATATTATAAATCATCTGATGCACAAATACAAGCACAAAGATTTTTGCCACACAATTCGCAAGGGTTAATGTGGATCTATTTATTGGTCCAACGACGTTTTATCATACCTTTTGACACGTGTTATATTACTAATTTTTTAAATTGCGTCTATGACGCTTAAAATACATTTCGCTGTAGTCCTAAAGATTTGTGAAATAAATGATTAAATTTACATACATGGCTTAAGGGAGGGAAGAGAGTCTTTACATATTTTAATTAGATATTTCTTCTTTTCAAAAAAATTTTCTATCAAAGTTTTTTTTTCATATCTCCTTATCAAATTATTGATAAATTTGAAAGATTTATTACTTTACTTGAAATAATTTAAACGAGCATAAATGATTAGATTCTCGTAACATAATGACGATAAAAATAAATTCATTGTATAATTACGAAAGCAATAAAATAGTTTAGAGTTGTATGAGAACACTCGGTTTATTATAGTGTTAAGTTTGTTTACTTTAATATAATAAATAAAAAAATTTACAATAAACAATTTTAATATTCTCTTTATTTTTTTTTTAAAAAAAATGGGTTATTCTATATATTATTATTATTCATTGTTATGTTTAATTTAAAAGTCTAAATAAATAAAAAAAAAATTAAAAAATGTTATCATATACTAAGAAAAGCATTAAATTATGTGTGTAATTTGTATAATTTTGGAATTAATTATAATATCAACATTAATTCTAATTCATCATGTAATCAATAGAAGCTTTATTGGAAGCACCTGCTTCGATATTATCATCAGCTTTGTTGGAAGCACCGGCTTCAATACCATCACCAGCTTGGATTTCAGTTTCATTACCGCCGTGTAATTCATCGACTTCCTCTTCGTCAGATTCATCGTCATCAGGAGGAATGGGATTAGCATTGCTTGCTTGTGTATTTCCATTTTGCCTTTGCTTAGAATACCAATTATTCTTTAGGCTATTTCGCGAACGGAATTTTTCAAATTTGGCTTTCATTTCTTCCTGCAAACCTTTCCAATTAATTTTTTGTTGTGGTCGAATGAGTTGTGGCACCCTACTATAAATATACTTCTTCTCTTTCTGAGATAAAGGTTCTTTGCAAACTAATTAAATGGAAAAAAGTTAATTCAATTTATTTTTTTAGAAAGAAAATGATTAAGATTTAATTACTTACGACGAGGATCTAGTATGTTCCACCAACTAATGTTTATGATGCAACAAGTTAATTTATGCTTTTTTTTCGTTAAAAAAATTTCTTGATAAATAAATATTTGTTACTTACCGATCAGCTATTTTCTTAGCGTCTATTCCGTCTATGTGAATAATTTTACTTAATTCTGCAAAAGGATACTTTTCTGGTTTTTCAGCGGTTTCATTGTTTTTCATATAGTTGATTATAGTTTCATCGATCTAAAAATTAATGAAAATAGGTAAATTTTATTCCAAATATTCAAAATATTTTTTTTAATATAGAGCCTTTGCAATAGAAAGGGGGGGGAATCTGCCGGAAAAAATCAAAAATGAGTTAATGCTAAATTTGAACATATTTCAACCTAAAAATCATATTTGGCATATAAAAGTAAAATTAATTTTTCCCGGCAGTTTCCCCTCTTTCTATTGCGAAGGCCCCATATAATTAATAATAAATCATTTGACATATACTTTCAAGCTGAATAAGCTGAATTTGGATTGGGAACCCATCCTTTTAATTTATGAAAAAATAAAAAGGATTATCAAAATTTTTTAAAAGGTTCTTTTTTTCGTGATATTTAAATAGGAAAAAAGAAAAAGAAAATAATGAAATTACAAGAAAAAAATCTTGCCTTTTTATAATAATTTTTATTAATGAATAAATTTTCTTTACTTATTTCGTATTGATATTTACTCAAAATGCATTGACCTTCTGACCATCCTTTTGCTCTAGATTAATTTTAATTTGCTAGGATCCTCATCCTTCCTATCAGATTATCGAACCTATTTTCTCTTTTTTTTAAAAATCAATGTTTTATTGGATTCGGATTGTTGTCACATTTTCAAAATGATATTATGTCATGAATCGATTCGATTAATGTTCATTGAAAGACTATTTTGTAGTTGTAAACAATAAGCTCTGGTAGATGAGGTACCTTCGCCAAGAATAAAAATTGATATGTTCATTGGTCGAATGATCCCCACCTCTCCTAGTTTCAAAATAAAGTTGTCAACGTGACGGTATCAATGCATCAAGTATTGGATCTATAATGGATTGTATTTATCCAATATAATACGTATTTAATATATAATGTAGCAAATGTTGTTTATCCGATATATTCGAAATCCGATATATTCGAGATTTTCATCCAAAAGATGTAAGTGGCTTATATCATGCATGGCAAGGTCATAGCCTCAGTAATTTAATGGTCATGATTTTCAGTCGAATCATGCGCGACCAATATTTGAAATTAAAGTTTTAAAATAATGTTTGGATTTGACGCTTATTAAGCACGTGCCAAGTTACGCAGGAACTTCATATTATTGCCATTGTATTTTAAAAAATGGAACACATATTCGGTCGATTATTTTATCCCTTAAATGGAAGGACTTTCATTAAAAGTTGAATCATAATTTTTTATATTTATTAAAAAATTTTGATTCTGATACAAAAAAAAGTTAGAAAGGAAGCAAAGCATTTCATATGTTGTATATAAGTTTATTTAAGAAATCTTTAGCAATTCGCAATCTTATAATTGGATATTTTTGGCGCCTTTTAATTGTTTCGAAAAAATAATTTGAAATAATACGTTAAATTGATTAATTGTTTCACACAAATTTTGGTCGATACCATTTTGTTTTTTTTATTGAATAAAATAATAAAATCAACATATTATCTTTATGAAAATTTTTGATTTGAAGTAATTATTAAGTTTTTTTTTTTTAGAAATTTACAAAAAGAAAAACCAGTTTTCCAAAAAAAATATTAAGACTAGATTGATACATATATAAATTAGCTTAATGAAATACAATATAAAAAGGATGTAAAAAAATCATCTATTTAAAATGTAAGAAATTTCAGCTTTATAATTATTACGTCGCTTTATTTCACTTCGCTTTTTAGAAAACCAAAAGTTTTTAAGTTCATTGCGCGATCGGAATTTGCCGCATTTGCCGCATTTGGCCATTTCAGTTTGTAATTCGCTCCATTGAATGATCGTACGCGTTTTTTGTTGTGTCTCGACCCATGAAGTAATATAATATTTCTCTTTATCTGATAATGATTCTTTACTGACTAAATAAAATGAAAGAAGTTATTCGACTTTCTTTTTTTTTAAAAAAAATGAGAGTAATTAAGGTACAATTTACTTACGACGAGGATCAAGTATGTTCCGCCAACTGAGGTTTATGTTGTAAGAGGTTGTTAATTAATTACTTAATTCTCTATATAGGCATAAGAAATATCTAATTAACTTACCGATGAGATATCTGTTTTGGTTTTAAAGTAATCTGTTCTTTAGAAAACTGCTTACTTAATTTTGCAAAAGGAAATTGTTCATATGGATGCGTTTCCATATAACATACAATAACATTATCAGTCTAAATTTCAAAAAACATGGTTAGTATTATTACTAGGAACGTTATGAGTCCAGAGCACGTGAATGGACATAAGACTATAAGAATTGTCGCGGCGGAAATAATCACGTGAATAGTCCTTCGCTACAGCATAACCTTCAAATAAAGCTCGGGTCATGTGATTATATAATAATGCGTCACACCCACCATGTTCATTTTTACTATTTAATCCGGGAACTTGGTTTTTTTTAGGGTGTGAAAAACCTATTTGTTACTGTTATTTGTGGGATTAGGGTTAGTATAAGTTAAGGTTGGTTTATTAAATTAGCTACATTATACATATAATCACATGACCCGAGCTTTATTTGATGGTAGTGCTGTTGGGAAAGTTTTCGCTACTCTCTGAACAATTATTAGGAATAAATATTAATAAATAGTATAATTACATATTCATTAAACAGCCGCTTCTTATCTTGAGTCATATCGATTAAAATTTTAAATGAAATTTTATTAAAATATTTCTTTTTTTTTCTAAATTAAGAGAATGAAGTTCGGTCAAAAAACCTTTGCTGTCCTTTATATAAAGAATACATACTTTCAAATCTAATTATTATTCTGTTTGTTTATCATACATATTAGTTCATTGAAAAGGAACTATTTTCTGCGATTCATTTAAGCTGGTAAATCTTTGTAACTCAAAAAAAAATTTTTTAAAGCATGTGGATCGTTAAAATTTGCAGGATTATAAACTCAATATAGTTAGTTTCGCCGATCTATTTCCAAAGAAAAAAAGCGATCAATCCAATACAATGACCCAATAATCTAATTTGATGAACGCCAAATTTAAACAAACTTTTATTATCCGATTATGATGGTAGGAACACAAGATCAACATATTACAGAATTCAATTCAATCCATTGTGTTCTTTCAAAACAAAAAAAAAAAATTCTCACATAATGCATGCATATTTATTACAAGACAAATGAAAAATACATTTTCTAATCCATAACCCCACATTTCTTGAATAATGTCACTTTATGTAAACCAATAACCATTTGAATAATAAATCCCATTCAGACAGTAATGAATCACAAGATCCAAATCAACGTGTTAATGCTATATTGCTATAAAGATTTTATTTTATTCTGTATTTATTTTAGTTATATAGAAAATATAATTCGACTGGTAAATACAGATCTTCACGTAGTAAAATTAAAAAAGATATTTTAATATTTTAATTCTGGCCAATCTCATTGAATATTTCAGCCAAAGTGAAATTTCTGATTCCAATATGACTGTAATTTAAACTTTTTTGCGCAAGTCAAATTTAATTTTAATATTTTAATGTTTTAATATTAAAATTATTGATATAATTAAAATATTCTTTGAAATAAAAAGCTACTTTACTATCTCATTAATATGAAGTTAAAATATGAAAAAAAAATGTATGTTATGACTGGCTAAGAATTGATTGACGATTCTGATTTCATAGATCATCTGTATCACCTTGTCAAATTATAATCACTGTAGGTCAAGATGTCAATTAAATTTCAGTGTAACGTGTAAATTTATTTCCATGATCATCTCGCTGATCATTTTGGTAACTTTTTTTTCCTAGTAATATGTTCATTTTATTCCATTGATATATTTAGTTTAGTTTATTTTTATTATTATCCAACATGTATAAATGAATATCTCTGTATTTTTATCAAGTCTTGAGACCTTATAAAGAAAAGAACTTACTTTTATTATTATATTAATAAAGAGTATAATTAATAAGTTAAAACTTATTTTATAACTTTAACTTATTTGTAAATTTATATTGTATTATTAACTTTGCATGATATTGGATATTACTATAAATCCTCACCTGTTTATACATGCATTATTAAATTTACAACTATTATATTATAAATTATATTATTTAAAATTTTGTATAATAATATTATATTATACTCTCTTTTTTTTGATATAATATTAAACAATCATTTTTCATATTCTAATGAAAAAAGATTATTTACATTATGATAATCTTATATATTAATTTAAGTCATATAATTGTTTAGTATATCAAATATATAGCTAATATATTTGGTTTAGCTAACATGAATTTGAATATGATATATGCTATTTTGCTATATAATTTCAGTATATCCAATAAAATTAATTATAAATAATCAGTTATATCAGTTATGTATTACTTAGTCAAAAAATGAATTTTTATTATAAATAGGTTTGTTATAATCAGTGATGATATTTATTTATTATTTTATTTTTTTTTTATTATAAATGTATTTAAAAAATATAACTTTTTTATAAATAAGATAATTCTTTATTAATATAAAATAAGACTGTAGCAGTTTCAAAAAAAAGATTTGTAATTAAAAATGAATTTTTAATATTTTTAATTAATTTTAAAATTTTTAACTAATTACTATTTGAATTTGAATTATAACTATTTATAATAAAATAAATTTTACAAGAAATGCAACTAATTTTATAACTTATTAAGTTATAACTCTAAAATTAATTTATAACTAATATTAAAAATAAATTAAAATATAATATTTTCTTTATATTTTTCATCTAAAATTTGATATAATATCTTATATTAATCTTAACTTTTATACTATATTAGAAGAGCTTCTAAAGACTTCAACTGGTTAATTTATATATAAATTATATATATATAATAATTAAATTTTACAAAAATAATATATTAGGAATTATTTAATGCTCTCAGAAGTCAGGAAATATAATAAAGGTATTTTATTCCAATTTCTCCATTAATAATTCATATGAAAAAAATTTGTTCTAATGTTCTAGAATAAATCATACAAAAAATGTATATCAGAAATTATGTTCAATAGCTTTCAAAGATCATAAATATAATAAAAAATATATAACAGTCAGCGGACATTTCAGTTCATGTGGTGATCATTAATTAAAAAATTGGCGTAATCATAGATAACCAAAATGTATATCTAATACAACATTGATTTTTTTAAGTAACGTGTCCACGAACCTTAATACAATTATGTTTTAAGACTTTGCCTACATATTTCAACTCTTTTTTTTATAATACAACACTTTTACAAAAAACTGTTATTAGACTGACTTTTCCTATTATTTTGACTTTAGTTTCCAGATACAAGTTTATTTAAAGACTAAACACTATTTTAAATTACCAATTATGTGTAATTTTTTACATGCAATTGAAATACTTACACTCAAGAAGGATGTTAGATTAGTATTTTTTTGAGAAATCAGAAGCTTTTATTTTATTATATAATTAATTGATATTTTATTGTCCTATTATTTATTTATTTTTATGATAATTCCACTAATCTCGTACTTTTTTTCCGGTCCAAATCTCTGATAATTACTCATGAGTAGAAGTAATAGCATTATCTAAGAGTTTATTTTTGTAAGTTTTTAATGGAGAAAGTATTACCATTTCATCTTTTGTAATTCGATGTTTATTACCTGTTGTATTTCTTTGTTTTAGAGCGATATTTCATTAGAATTTTCTACTGATTTTTTTTGTGCTAATTGTGTAGATTCAGCAGTCCTTCCCCTTTTTTTAGCTTTGCTCCTTGCTTTTTTTTGGTCTTTATAATCTTTTAATTTTGTTTTAATAACCCTCACTACCCTTACTACCCTTCTACCCTATGAATTTTTATGTTCTATTTTTAAAACTTCTTGACGATAAACTCCTTTTATTTGTTCTAATCCATTTGGATAGCATGCAATTAGGCAGTTAAGATCCTCCTGATATATTTCTGTTGGCATATATTCTTGAAATAATTGGTGAGATAAGGAATCATCCATTTCAAAATTACTACAAGTTCATTAATTAGATTCCATAATGATTCTTGGCATGAGTCAACAGCCCATTTGCTACACGAAGTTGAATAATCATTGTTATATTTACTAATTAATAAATCTACTCTATCTCTTTCATTTTGAGAGGATTTTATCTGGTTTTTAAGATTTCTACATTTCCACTAATGTTTTGTTTTATAAATTTTACACCAAAAGTTTCCAAAGTTTCGTCAAAACCAAAATATATATGACATATATTTCAGGATTTTCATCAATATCATAAGATATCTTAAAAGTATCACAATAATGTAATTTCTCTTTTAATTCAGGATGGGCTTCTATAGTGACGAGAAAATGAGCAATAACTGTTGTATAATTTGATTTGGCAGCACTAGCATATAGTGGTCCTGCTGCAAATAAAGAATCTCATTGCAAGTCAAAGTTTCACATACGTATTCCCATCCTATATGCCTTCCAAATTCCAGACCATTGGTAATATAGGTATCATACCTAATATGTTTTTAAATAATTTTAAAATTTTGATTTTATTAATTTAAATAAAATAAAACTATAAGAATGTAAAAAATAATGTCTTGGAACGCTTTTTTTTGTTTATTTCTTTTTTTTTATAATTTTTAAATTTTAATAAAATCTATTTTATACCTTAAGACAAATATGGTTTTCACTATCCATTATTTTAGAAAATAATATTTCTTTTTTAGTAATATAAATACTAATTGCTGTTCCTACTACTACCCATAAAATATCTAACACTCGTGCTGTTAAACAATAATCAACGGCTGTTTCAAATTTATCTAAAAAACAGATATCTAAATATGATGCCAAGCTTAGCAATCCATAACTAGAGAATAAAACCAACAAAACTGAACAAAAATCCTTTGACATGTGCCACTGTCTAAGGAAAGGTCTTATATTTGGCCATTCATCCTGACACTTGATCAACCTATGAAAGATTACTTCATCTCTACGATATCTAAAAAAGAATGACTTTCTAGTGTAAAATCTTTTTTACACATTTTAGCAACTCGCAAAATTTCTTCATCTGAATTTGGGTTGCTACCTGGCTCTAATATTACAATATTAGGCGATAGACCAAGATGTTCACGGTCTAATTTGAAAAGTATAACATGTTTAATACTATCTGTATTAAAGT